TTAAACAATAAACCCGTTGGTTTTGGTGCCAAGATTTCGTTTGCTGCCAACGAGGAAGATTGTAAATCCATTTCCAGTGATGGTTAGAAATGAAAGAAACCAGCCAAGCATCCAAAACCAGGTCTCCATGTTAACAGTTAAAGGAAGTTCTTTCTCCCAGGGGCAGGAAGAGGGGGGTGGGGGGGTCTTTAGAAATTTTCGGGTGGCAATGTGCCGCTGGAACACTGGAACACGTAGCCTATACTTCTGTTTCAGCTGAATTTTGCTACCCTTTCAAACTAAACTTCCCAAATCCCTCCCTATGCAAGGATTGCTCTCTGATTTCTATACGCAATCCCATTCTTAGCTGCTTGAGAACTATACCCTATAAAGCTTCATGACATATCCCATCTGACAGTACCTCCCGCGGGGGCTAGGTTGCCTTTCAGCCTGAGTTTTTTTTATCACAAATCTTTTCTTTCGTTTCAGTGGGGCGAATAAGACTATAACAAATTTTAATGGCTGTGATAAAAAATACATTTTTCTTTCCTCCTTGATAAATTCAATCCTGCTTGTTATTTTATAGTTCAGACTTTCTGACGATGTTATGTTGATTCTCTCCACCTCTTGACCAATGATCGAAGAGAACAACTGTTTGCATACTAGATAATTTACACAATTGGGCAAATAAAAAAATAACCGAAAATTTCTGGCACGTTTTGCGAAGAAAATGAAATACCCAGGAGTACTATTACTGCCCAAGACTATCAGGTTTTATGATAAAATACCACGGATGAGATAACTACGTTTTAAACAATATCTGATGGACTACACATTCTGTAAATCGCCCCTGTATTCATTACCGTCGGAACTGACAAACTCTATGGTATCGTTTCAGGTAAGCATAGGTAGTTTAGATATAAATATTTTGGAAGGAATAAAAAAGAAATTATTGAATTCGGCTTTGTGCGATCTGAAGAATTATACAGATCTATGTATTCAGCGTCATTCAATACTTGCTATTATTTCTCATCTGTCAGTTAAAATTTTTAACTAATTTCCAGCTGCCGTTTAATCCATCCCTTGGCCTTCTTAATTTCTTGTGGTTTGAAATCTAAGAATCTTTTCTCGATGAGCTTCAATAACAAAGGTTTTAATTTCACATCACTCAGGATGCGATTCATGAATTGAGGAGTCAAGTCGAGCAACCTTAAACAGACAACAAAAGACCTAAATTTCATAGTGACAAAAGACCAAATTACAACTGCTACTGCAAATTGAGACGATTATCACAAATTATTCAAAAAGTCTTCCACTGTTATCAGTATAGTAGAAACTGCTTTAAAACTTGTGTAAAAGAAAGAGATGTCTTTTCGCCGCGCCATAGGCCTAGGGAATCTGCCACGTTGGTTGTATAGATATCAAATGATGTATACATTAAAATGATCATACAGATCGTGCTCTAGATGTTTTAATATTCATTCACACCTAGCATGGACTGAGGGTAATTAACTATCAGTTTGCAGGGAAGTCAAAAAATAATACAATTCTTTTCCTACACAAAAACCAAAATTTTTACTTCATGCTTGTTTAAAATCTAGGAAACTACTTGACAGAGTTGATTACAAAAGGTATTTTAGAAAATAAAGAAAGGAAAAAGAAATACTATCACTTGGTTTGAAACAAAAATGTTTCAATAAGAAATTTAGTCTACTACTACTGTTGACGTGGGCTTGATACTTCGGAATTGTTTCAAGTGTACCTGACATATACTGGATCGTATTCTCATCTTCCTTGGATTCTCGTACCCTCGTTAAACACCAGTGCCTCAAAAATATGATTTGAGACCAACAGCCAGTGATTTTCCAGCCCCAAAACTGCCGCGTTGCCTGACGCAATCCCGTTATAAAAGGGGCTATTTCTGTCCTTCAAGAATGTTCTAACGTATAAGTGGAAGGCTCTACTTGGTTATTGTACTTAAAAACCGGCACCTGACCGATAAGTCGTTTAAACTCTTTCTTTATGTCTCTTTTGAAAAAAGCATAAGACAGTGGGTTAATGGCCGAGTTTAAAACCAAGACAGGAGTTTTGTATTGTTCATCTTTACATGATGCATTTGTGTCGAATAGTACTACGAGACTGCAACGTAAATATATTCCGTAGCACACAACAAACACTCCTATCACAATACTCATCATTACTACTGCAGACTTCTCGTGATGGGTTTTAAAAGATATGCCATGGTTAAAACTCAACTGTTTTGCTAGGGTGCGTGCTGACCGATTATGTTTCCATACATGAAGTAACATTGACACAAAACAGAATATCTGCAGAACGCATGGAACGATTTCCATGGAAATCATTAAAACCACAACTGCAACGATACTGGTCAGAGGGGTCTCACAGCAAAGTCGAAGTGCGGTCTTGAACGCAACCAGCGTAAATGACGCTATCCAACAGGAAGTTATCACTTGAATAACACGAGATCGAGTCATAAAAGTTATGTATTTAAAAGGCTTTACGATGGCGATATAACGGTCGAGCACCAGAGAACATAAGTTTAAAACAGACAAGTAGCTAAACAGCCACCTCACGACATCGTCCCACGAAGGAAAAACCTTAGGCCAGTCACAGGTGTTTGTAACGTCGCATGCGAACGAAGAAGGAACAACGCTCAAACCAACACAGAAATCGGCTACTGCAAGTGAAACAATAAACGCGTTGGTTTTGGTGCGGAGATTTCGTCTGCTGTAGACGAGGAAGATTATAAATCCATTTCCAGTGACGGCAAGAAAGGAAAGGACGCAGCCAAGAATCCAAAACCAGGTCTCCATCCGTAGTAACGGCAGTTAAGAGATGTTCTTATTAACTACAAATAAAAAGAAAAATATCCTCTTCCCAAAAATATCAGGAGGTTGTGAGTTATTCACTGGCAGATGTATGTTACTAGACTGAAGTCCTTCTTATTTTCCTTCTTTGTCATAAACTTGGTAATTTCTCATATGTGTTTCGCATGCGCAGTAGGTCACTGACCGAGCTGTCGCAACACAGTTGCCGGTAGGAAAATGAGGATTGTTGCGTGTCTTAACCACTGTAATTCAAAGCCAATGGGCGCTTTCAATTCAATTCCGGTTGAAATGTTAGAAATTCCACTTGCCCAATGGAACTACATCGACCCGACCCAAGCCACGGCGCCTTTTGGTTATTGTTCCAGACCTGCTAAAGAGCGGTACTAGAGAGAACAATTTTGTCAAATGGAGAGGGACACTCCAACATTGCCGATATTAATCTAGTATTTATTAATAGCTCTGATCTGGCTGGATATTCGTTCTTAATTATTCTCCTTACAACTAAATCAGTCTGGTCGGTCATTTCTAACACTGAATGGAATTAACCGTGACCTTAGCCGGTTAAAAAAAATGCACCTTCAATTTAGTCTAAATTGCGGCAGTTAGTTCTTACAAATTGCGACAGGTCTATTACAAATTACGACAAAAGCGCATAATAAATTACCACTGACTATGAATTGCGTCGGTTATTCCAAGTTACGACAACCGAACAAGCTTTTGTATCTATAGGTTTTTCATAACATCTAGATGCAGGTGAATTTTGATAGTTATATTGAAACAAGCTTTGACTACCTCTCATCTCATGTGTGCCAAAGCTGGACATGTTGGGGTTAACTGACCGGAAGAGTTTCCATTGTATATCTTATCGCTAACATTGCAATAGGTCTGCTATTGTTACGGAATAGATTAGCCTACGCACAGCCGCAACTGACAAGTACCAAAGAACCTAGGACAGCTCTAACACCACAAACACGACTACCTGTAAAAAACTGACATCTGACAATGCCAAGCGAATAACATTCCTAATATGGCAATAAGTGAATTCGTGAGCTAAGCATAAATTCAAGTACAAGTAAAAACAAAAGATCAAAACAGGAAAAACAGTACGTAGACAAAAACAAGAATTAATGAAACAAAAACTAAACTTAAAAAGATAAGATAGATCCGTCTTAAAAATAGCTTTCAAAATACTTCACTGAACAATATAGTGATAGCGCAAGATGCTTGGGGGTACGGTCGATATGATCTTTAACAACTGTTTCACTAGCTGAGTTATCAATCAATTAATAATATTGTTTAGTTAAATGTCTTCTATTGCATTTTTCTTTCATACAGCTAAATTGGAAGGTTTTATTATTCATTCGGCATGCAACGATTTTAATATCGTTCAAGCCACAAGCAACTCGTTTCTCCTATTTGCTGTTGGGCTTCCTTAGCAACCAATATTATTTTGTTTGTCATGATTTCTACAGAATTTAAATTAGGAAAATTAGCCTTACGTTCGTATAACCGGGGCGAAAAAGGTGATAAATTTGATAGCTACCTTGCTTTCTCCATAATAAGTCAGTTAACATTTTTTTCATTTCAAGTCATACCTGCAGGACTGAGCTGAAATAAACTTGCACGGAAAGATTACAAAACTTCTACATTTCTTTGTGTTTTTCTCACAAGGAAATTATTTCATATAACAAGGATATCGTACAGTTAATCCTTCCGTTCGGCTCGGTAAATTCTAGGAATCTATCGCCGTTAACAGAGTTGATTACAAAGACTATTGAACGAACAACCTCAGTGCAGAGGAAAATTGACACCAAACCTCGAACTTCTGAACTTGCCAATCTTGTTTTCCGTCGTCAAACTGGTATTCAGAATGCGAGCGTCCGTTTCAGAGATTAATAAACTGATGGTCATAACCAGTGAGCCCGCTGTACAAAAAGTGCACGGCTATGCCTGGGTTCAAAACTGTATCCAAGCAACAAGCAGCACATGATCACGCTATCTTTGTTAATTGATTAATGCAGAGTCTTGCTCGAGTATCCCAAAATCGAGCAAGAGAAACAAAGCGGGCTTTGCTAGCAGCCCGTGTGATCACAAAATTATACTCCATGTCATGACGTGAAGCCATGTTGTAAAAAGTTCCACCCAATAAGAACTTGCTTCTCACACCCTCTG